CCCACACACTGACCGCAACCAGTGATGCTTGACTTCGGTGATCTGATGAGAACCGTGTCTTAACGGGAAATACTGGTACGGGAAATGACTGGTACTTAATATACTGGTACGGGAAAAGAGAAAATACTGGTAGATGAACTATTTCAATATTAGATAATATTCGGGAGGAGTTAATCTATTCTCAACAATAACAATTCTCTGTAAGGAAATTTATCACGGCGAAGAAGCAATTCAATATAAAAATTGCATCCGTTAAAAAATAATTGGTAGTTATAGCTTTTTATTATTCCCGGAAAAAAACTAAAAAATAAAATTTATTGTTACCAGTTTTTACTCCAGTGCGCTGCCAAGATGAGACAATCTAGAGTGACCCACCGGTGGGTCACCCAGGCGTGAACGTGTTTATAGAAAAAAAAATTTGTATTTGTTTTGCTACCAAAGGTCGTCAATTGTCCTTGTTTGAATGTAATATATTTCCCACACACATTTGAAAAATGAGCGAATACCTCTTTTTGGTGACGCACTATTTGCAAATACTCTGCTTTACGCTCTTGAAAGAAAACTTTTTAATCGTCTACATTGTACTGTTTATTATTTAATTTTATTCAGTCCCGACTTTTCGTCTTAAAAATATGCAATCATCTGGCTTTGCATCTCATTTACTGTTAAGCCACCTAGGATGAGACTTGCAGGTTGGATATATTGAATGCAACAGTTTGTTATTTGACATTGGCTTACTATTTTACTGTTCGTTTTCTTTTGTTGAAAAGTTACGTATCTTGCCTGATTTAAAGATCAACGTAAGCTTTAAAAATATTTTTTCAAGATTAATTTTATTAAAATTGTCGTAAATGTACTATATTATGAAGTATGAGTCGCCGATCTATGGCTTTGCAGTCCAAGTGAAACATGAATAGTGTATTTGGCTCTGTTGTTAGTTGGCTATGGTGTTGGTTGAACAAGGATCACCAAAACACACTCCAAAGTGTTATAACGGGATACCTGCAAGTGACGTAGTGACCTCGATCCTGATTGGTTGTTGAAACGTAGCATTTGTTGATTGCTATTTAGAGTAAGCCAAGACCATCATGTATCAATTCTCTTAAGTGTCACATTCTATATTCTGTCACAAAGATTTCAATTCTTCACAACATAAACCAACTTATTATGCATCGAAGTTGTCAAGTACACAAAACAAAAATATATCACGGTTACAGTAAAATGTATGAACAAATAATAAATCAAAGTTAAGTAAAAGACGTATACGAGAAAGAATTACATTTCAACAAATTAGATGTGTTATTTGCGCTGTATTTAATTAATTTCACACACACGTTAATTAACATATGGAGAAACTGAACTGGACTTTGACACGCCACTTTGTTTATAAACGATCAGCTGACACTGACGCCATAGGTCGCACCTGTGGGTATCACTAATTTTCTTCTCCCTGAAGTGCAATTTATAAATCTTCAGAGGAAGGCATTGGCTCGCATTGGGCTGTCTGGCCAACTATGATGATGAAGTGCAAGTACCCAATTACCAAAAAAAGTTAAAGGTGATTGTATGATGCCTCTGGAGGAGATGTGATTCTTTATTGTTTAATGAAACCTCGCTTATATGTCGCAAGAGAAATTCCATACTGTTACTAACCAGAGGAAATAATTTAAAATCTCGAAGGAAATTGTCAACAGTTCGCGCCCTGTCTTCTGCATGATATTATCAAACTACACGTGAATGATTATGGCAAAACTACAGGAATTTGAACTTCGTCATCGTCTTTTACACTCCCTGGACTTTCTGACTGCCGAGTCTTTCGAAATTTGGACAACTTTTTAACCCATTCATTCCTCAACGAAAAGTGGTTTAAATGAGAAAAACACTTATGAAAAAAAAGTTTATCTATTTTTTTATATCTAGATGATATTTTTTTTTTCGTTGCTTATTATTTTAGTTTTGAAAAAACGCTGAGCTTTTTGACACCCAATCTATTTATAAATATTTATATCATTGATATGTAATGTTAGGCCGATCTACTTTTCTGCAGAATAAATCCGAATAACTAAACACTTTGACTCACAGTTTTTGTTTCTGGAAAAAGAAACCGTACTCCATTGGACGCTAGGCACAAACAGGTTAATAGAAAAAAAATTCCGAAAATGTTGCAAAACTGGACATTCAGGAATTCATTGAATCTCGGCTATCAGGGTTCGACACTGATGCAAACTGCGCTGGATTCGCCAAATATTTTAAAAAACGGTAGAAAATTACAAAAATTAAAGTCTGCAGATTTTCAATTAATTTTGCCAACATTTTAAAAGGCTATACACGACTTAAATGTCTTGTCTTGCTTTTGGATCTGGGCACCTGAGCCGCGAAGCGTCCCCTATCCCATTCACTATGTAGTATTTGTCATTTTGTTTGGTTTCGTTGAGGTTAACAGGCAATGTGGTTGCTGTCAGGGGGATTCTAGCACTTTGCTTGAATAAATAATAATAATGAATATGAAACGGAGCAGCTTGCTCTAAACTATGTGTGACTTGAGTTTTGAATGTTCGTTGCTGGTCAACGTGGGGAAACGCTTGATATAACTTTCAATATTGTAGTTGTTTAAGCTGATATTATTGGTGGATCTGTGATAAGAAATTTGTTAAAGCTTTTATTTATTTTGATGATTGTGATCTGAGGCGTCGGATGTAAAGTGAGCAGCTATTGGTCAGTATTTTACGACTTAAATGTAAAAAAATAGCGCTACACTTAAGTCTGGGAATTATTTAGAAGAAGTGGTGAATAAAAACCTTATAAATCGAGTTTACTAAACCAAGAATCATATATTAAGAGACTTATACTTGAAAATATTTCTCCGTTTTTACCACACTGCCTCCGACATGGCAAAAATGTAGAGAAAATATTGGGTGCATGCTTTAATAAATAAAATAGTTCTTTATGACTGTTAGCTGTGAACACATTTTTGAAATTTGTGCGATCCATACAAAAGTTTAAAAAGTGGTAGCATATCCACCTCGTTTGCGCCCTGTTTTTCAAAGAAATTATCCTTTCGTGATTTCCACAAACATAAATGTTTCAGTATATATGTTAAAGTACTACAATCGTTCGTCGTGCTTTTCTTTTTAATTGAAGTTGTAGCTATAATGACAAGTTTGCTCCAGGTTTTATGAAATCTCGCCAACTAATTTTCTAATCTGTAATGCATTTTTTTTGGAAAAGTTGTCTGCGTGCACTGTGATAAAACAACATTTTTTTACTAACCTCACACGGACGGCTTAATACAAGGCATTGTAATCTGGTAAATATTCAAAATACTGAACAAAAAAAAGAATTTTATAATATTTAAGCACCAGTTTTTTAACAAAATCTATGTTATTAATAAAAAAACTTTACGTATTGCACTTCACCGTCTCTTGTTTTCCTAATTAAAACGCTGGCTCCGTAGCTTAGCAAGTTATTGAAATCAGAGAAACAATTGCGAGTAGAAAAGAATGAATATTGAAATTGTTTAACTATTATCACATATGCTCATCACAAAGAAGGCTTATTAGCCAGCCCTTGTATTAAAGAGGAACATCAGAAAGATACAATCCAGGGTCACAGTAAGAAAGTAAAGTTAAAGCGGTTAGCGTTTTCAGAGCGGCAAGGCCTCTCTGCCAGTGAGTCTCCATCCACAATTATTGTATTTCAAGCGTGCACCTTAAAATGATTTTAATAAAAAAGAAATAGTAACAATTGTTTCATATTATAAATATAACTATTTCGTTTAGTTTAGCGAGTTTAAAAGTGAAGTTGTAATTTTAAAAGCTTAATTTAATTATCAAAAAACTTTTTGCAGTGATGTAAAAACTTTTTTGAAAAAAGTGGTTGGAAATTAGCATTTTAGCTCTTCGAGACGGGCGGTACATTTTCTGGGTGAGGACAATAAAGTTAAAGGACATAAAATTGGTAGTCCAACCAGCAGTTCATTTGTGGGTGAGGTAATAATAGTTTCATTTATGTAATTCACCACTTCTAAGTTCAAAATGAAAATTACTTAATTACTCTTTGAAATAATATTGATTGTATGAGTGGTAGTTATCAGGACGGCCGTGTCTCTACTTTAACAGAGCCACACTTACTTACACATATACCTCAAATTTTCTTTAACTCGCCCACCTTCTGTATGCATTTCCAAACTGTAAATACTGTAAATATTCATTGGTGTTTATTTTCCCATTGTACTTTAATTTTACCTTTTTTATGTGCTTTTTTATTACTTATAATTTTGTTATTGCCTAATAATGGCAAAGTGCCATTTTTCTTCTCTCAAAAACTCTATTTTTCTCCCCAAACTTTGATTTTGTCATATATGTTTCGTAGTTTAATTTCAGGATGAATGGGAAAAGGGCCGTAAGGCCTCAGACTCCCAGTTCCACTACAACGACCGAACGTACAAACATTGATTGTATGCGTTAGAATCAAAATAAGAAAATTCTGTCAAATTAGCCATGACCACATTTGAGTTACCGCTTTTAATTTTATTCCATCCTGATTCTGCGTGAATGTATTTATGACTCCCCCGTCTCGAAGGAGTTAAGCAACGGAAATAATTTCTAATGAAACTTTAGTTTCAAAAAACATATTTCAAATGCATAATTTCAGATCAAAATTTAACTAGTGCTATTCATTTGGCAAACTGGAACTGAATTTACAGAGCTGCTACTATCTAGAATTTTTTTTTCTTTCAAATAGTAGAAAAATTAAGTAAAGTATAATCGATGTTTTATATTGTTTTATCTGCCAAACAATTTTAAATTCTAAGGTCATCCTGATTCTCTGCGAATTGTATGTAGGTGCTAAACCTGATAAATGGTTTGGTAATGCTCAAGTAAAAGCATAATTTAAATATATTTGTAGAAACTTTGAAAAACCAAAGCTACCACTTTTTGACTTTTCCCAGTTAGTAGCAACCCTGATTTATTACCTGATACAATCATATTAATTCATACCTGTTCGGATATTTCTGAACAAAGACATTGTCAAAAGGAGACTCAACCAAAGTTTCCGTGTTGTTACTACTCTCGGTAATTGCTACTGGCATTTCCGTAGTCGTGGTGGTTGTCGTTCTTGGTAAAGGCGGACAAGGTTTCAAATTGCATTTCTTGACTGCTTTTGGCCTAGTCTTAAGGCACTTTGAAGGTGGCAGTTGAATTGCTTGGTTGAGAGGTGCCAGGATTTTTTCGCAATGCAGTTTTCGTGTTTGGAAACCTCCATCACAGCTTCTTGAACACTGAAAATTTATTGATTTCGTATGACCGTGATGGCTTGTCTAGATTTATAATTTTTCAATGCTTGGGAAAAATGAGTTTAGCACGTTCACGCCGGGAAAAGTGAAAAATACTGGGACGGGAAAAGAGAAAATACTGGTAGAAGAACTATTTCAATATTAGATAAAATTCGGGAGGAGTCAATCTATTCTCAACAGTAACAATTCACTGTAAGGAAATTTATCACGGCGAAGAAGCAATTCAATATAAAAATTGCATCCGTTAAAAACAATTGGTAGTTATGGATTTTTATTATTCCCGGAAAAAACTGAAAAATTAAATTTATTGTTACTAGTTTTTACTCCAGTGCGCTGCCAAGATGAGACAATCTAGCGTGACCCACAGGTGGGTCACCCCGGCATGAACGTGTTAAGCGAGGGACGAACAGAAAAGCTATTGAAATCTGTCGAATTACTAGAAAGGAAGAAGAGATGGAAAAAAAATTGATTGCGTAATCAAACTGGGATGCGTTTATGCTAATCTCTTTTTCTTTGGCAATCAAATAGGTTTTTCATGTTTTTTAATCCCACCTTCTCCCTCAATAGTAATTTGTTAGATTTCAATAGCATACCTGACACCTTTTACAGACTTCCAAAAACGATTTTTAGCAGTGGTGAGAAATTACTAGAGCAGGTAAAAACTCAATTTCCGATGACGCATTCATAACTGGTGTTAGCTCTTGATATCTGCATTTAAATTATTTAAATATAGTGGTAGTTGAAAGTATATTTAATCAAATTTGTAAAAGCAGTAATTAAGCAAATTTTGCTGCACTCAAAAAAGTTGGCATGTATGAAATTGAGTTTTTTTTCACTCTAAAGAAGAAAATGCAACTCGATTGAAGTTGCAAATGATTTTTTGTTTAGTAATAATCAGCTGCTAAAGAAACTTAGGAAATTTAAAAAATAAAATAAATAAATAACGAATGAATTTTTTCTTTGCAATTTTAGAAAATAGCTTAGATTATTAAAAAATAGACATTTTTTATAACAACATTTAATTTTTTTTAATTGAAGTATTTAATATTGTAACAGGGTTTTTACTTTTTAATTAATTTTAAAGGAAAAAAACATATCAAAAAGTACTTTTTCAAAGCTTGAGTATATTTCTTTTGTCATAGCTTTTATTAAAACCATTTCCACAATATATTTGGAAGTAGTATAGATACAACAACGCCTATATTATTAAAGTATTGCCACGCACTTTCCATTTGACGTTCGCGTTCAGGGACATTTTTTTTTGTTCACTTTTTCATGACTGCCATATGAAATTGAACGCCAGTCGTATGTTTGAAAGTGAAAATTAGCACATTTTATAACGGTTTTTTCATGAGAACTCTCGACGGCTGGAACCGTTATTTGCTCGATCATCTCGATATTTTTTTCGCTTTCCAAACAAACAAAAAACAATTGATATGTTAACAGAAATGTTACACCGTTTTTTTCCGATGTATTTCTGAATAATTAACAAATAAATGCTCTAGTACTTACTCTACGTACTAATCATGTTCAATCCCTTTTTTATTAACTCATTGCTGACCGGCAACTTTTTTGAAAACTTCCCCATGTGCCCGACTATTGTTTTTGAATGTGGATGTAAAACAATATAAATAAACATTAAACTTTTTTAATGCCGTTTGATAAAAAGTTAACAATCACCTATGTGTAATGGTACACCACAAGTTTTGCAAATTTATCAGGTTTTGTATCAAGTTATAATAAATTGGTACAGAATTAAATAGTAAAACTTGAAAAGTAAGGAAAGTTATGCCCACTTTTTAAAATAGTCACCACGAGATCACTGCTAACGAAAACACGAGTTAACTCGTGACCGGTCACCAACGTTTCGCCACGAAAACACGAGTTAACTCGTGACCGGTCAGCAATGTGTTAATTAAAATGTGCAGACCATGCCTACGGGTCACGAAAAGTTTTGTGGTTGTCATTCCAAATTCAAAGATTTTTGAGCTATTTTTAATATATAATTACTGAAATGAAACTGATACTGATCAATAGAAATCAGTTTTTAAAAAGAAGTGGTAATTAACACATCCGCAATAAGATATTTTTGCTTATTTAACACGGTAGACGCTTACAGGATAGCTATACTGCCGTTCAATAGAAAAGTCATGAGATTCTTATATATTTGGCATTTTTGTGTAATAAACTACCTAACCCTTTTTTTTTCAAATTTTTTTTTGCTATATCAGTTTTTTAAATACTATTTATTGCTTGTAGCATTATTAAAAAAAATAGTTGCCATGGCACTTTTCTCGAAATCTCACGTGAAACACGGTGTTTTATAATTTCAGTAACCGTCATTAGTCTAAATATTGCCTAAAAGCAGACGTTTATATCCGTCAATTGCGTCAAAGTGTGCAATATATAGATTTTTTGATACTCAAAAAACTTTAAAAATGGATAGGTTGCAAAAACATTGCAAAACCAGATATTTTTTATTAAAAAACAAGGAGTCATAAACTATGACTATTACAAGAGCTCCTTTTTATTCAGCCAAAAAAAAAAACAGAAAAGAAAAAAAAAGAAAACTGAGATCCCAAATAAGATCCCTATCTTACTTATTAATTGAAAAATCCTGCTCATGAAATGTCGATGGCATTTTACGCTGCGCCAAGCTAATTATTAAAGTATTAAGTACTTCCTATTCTGCCCGATATTTTTTAAACTTAATACGATCAGCCAATATACCTTTATTCTATTTCGAAAACGTATGGTAAATTACTCAATTCAATGGAATTTTCTACGGTTTAATTGCAATAAACCTTTGATAAGGCTATTCAACATAAGCCTTTACTACTCTAGGCTTATTGAAAGCTGCCTGAAACAAATCAAATCAATTGAGCAATAAATGATACGTTTTCTTATTAGCTTAAAGATGGGTTCACCGCAATAAGCTAAGAGAATGCAAGGTTGGTTAGAAAATGCTGGAGAATTTAGTCTGACGATGGCTGTTTGCAAAAGCTGGATAACTCAATTAGAGTACGGCATTCGAATTTATCATCTGATTACTACGGAAACAATATTTACTTTGCTCCAGGATTCTGCCTTCCATGCTGGTGGACAATCGAACGCATTGCATGTGTCAGAAGTTTTCGGTGGCTGGCCAGGACATCGAGTTGAAGACGTTTCTTCACCATCTTTCAGCGAGATGCATTTAATTTGTCGTGTTTTCAGACCACCTCCACATTCTTGAGAACAGTTTCCAAACTCTGACACATCCCATCGGTAACTATAAAGTAGGGGGGAAAAACGCAATTATTTAAGAGAATAAAAATGATTTGATGACGCAAAAAAAGTTTAAGAGTTCCAGGAAAACTGCAAAAAAAGAACAGTTTTATTTCTCTTTATGGAAGAAATAAATCAGGGCCTTAAAAATTTTAAAAACTATAAGGTAACAAGAAGAAGACTACTCTCCCTCATTAAATGCATTTCCGATCAGGATTAGCACGTTGAATGCCATGGAGGTCCCCAGTGACCGGCACTGAGTTTGCTCATAGTGCTACGGGGTCACCGGTGTCCAGCGAATCCAAGAATTTTAGAAACACATAATTCGAGTAAATTTTTAATTTTTTTATGTTATTAACGTTACTAAAATGGTTTGAAGAAATTAATGCAATATAGAACACACAAAAATAGTTTTATTTATATAAACAGATTTGCCAATTTGCTTCGGACAGAGAAAAAATATTTTCAAGTAGTAGTTTATTAATTGTGATTTTACAATTAATTAACTGTGAATAAACTCAATTTAGTAGATTTTTGTCCACCACTATTTCTAAAGAATTCGCAGACTTATATAATTCACCACTTTTTTCGAAGGTAATATGCTAAACCTCTTAAAAAACTAGAAAAATCTGTCTAATATTTGCAAATTTAGTTTGTAGTTATTTACTGTTTGGCCATATAGGCAAGCCATGCAAACCTCTTAAAAAACTAACAAAATCTGTTAAATATTTGCAAATTTAGTTCGTAGTTATTTACCGTTTGGCCAGATGGGCAAGCCATGCAAACCTCTTAAAAAACTAGCAAAATCTGTTTAATATTTGCAAATTTAGTTTGTAGTTATTTACCGTTTGGCCAGATGGACAAACCATGCATAATTAGAGTGGCATTCAACGTGTTAAATATTACTTTTCAAATAAAATATATTAGAATAGAATTCTGCCCTTCCAGACCTCTAAGCGTAAAACCTAACTTAAAAAGAGAAAAGTATTAAAGAAAATTTACTACCGCTATTATATGTTTCAAGACTCGTGGAAACACAGTAAATAAAATGGAACATGGTTGAAATTTTGTATTATAATAGCAGGCAACATGTAAGGTCAAGGAGGGAAAAAAATTTCTCGATGTTGGCAACTTTTTAGTTTTCATAAATCTTGGTTTTCAACGTTTCAAAATAAATAATAAAAAAAAAATGAAAAAAAAATTATAAAATAAATAAATAAGTTAAGACTAAGAAATAAATAGTTTTAATACATTTTTAAAAAATTATAGTAAATCGTAAAGCGGTTTGTTATAGTAATTTATGATAAATACCGAATTTTTTTTTATTTTTAAAGACCATGTCAGACAAAAAATATTTTTAGCATGATTTTTCCCTTTCTTTATTTTATTGAATTTTCTTGTATACATGGATAAGAGGAAAAAAAACATTATACTCGTACATAAATATTTCACCCCAAGTATAAGTTTATGTGCTTAGAATGTCTAAAAGAAAGTTCTGTGAAATAGACTCACGTAATGGGACAGGGCTGGTCATTACAAACTTTAGAAAATGGTTCAGGTTTAAGAGATTGTTCACNCTGCGGGGGATGGTGTTTACCAACAGGATAATGCACCATGCCATAAGGGTCGATTCATCATGGATTGGTTCGAGGAACATTCCAGTGACTTTCAAGTCTTGTCTTGGCCCCCAAATTCACCTGATCTTAATCCAATCGAGCATTTGTGGTCCTATTTGGAAAACCAAATTTCGTGCTGCCACGCTACCCCCTCTCAATGTGAGGGAATTGCAGGACCAGTTGGTGAGCGCTTGATACCAGATACCTCAGACTACCTATCAGCACCTTGTGAAATCAATTCCACGACGAGTGTTAGCAGTTTTGAGGGCTAAAGGTGGTCCTGCGTGTTATTAGCAGGGTGGTCATAATGTAATGGCTCTTCGGTGTAAATAATATTTTATTTTAACGTGTTTAGAATTCGTTACATTAAATGATCGACTAACTATACTCTCACCCGAAACGGGATATTATATTACGACGTCGTCGACAATAAATTCGTCCTCACAATATAAAATAAATACATTTAAAAAAAATACTTTCACGTGTTACATTTTCCACGACCGACGAGAGCCTGGTATCTAAAATTTAACCCTTTCCATGACAACAAATTACGATTGAAAATTTTAGTCAAGCAGGTCTTTAACAAGTGCGACCTTAAACAGTTATTTAAAACGACATAATTTAGCTCTTTGATGTTTAAAGAACTTAGCATGGTTCCGGTTACTCTGGTGTGCTCTCACTGATTTATTATTTTTCTAATTTATTATTCACTTTGTTTTGTAAATTCGATGTAAAGTTATTTTCCACATCACCACACATAAATTATTCAAAAGTTCATATGAGACGATTCTTCTTTCCAGCTCTCTCGTGGTGAGGTTTTAAAATGCTCACAAAACTACCACAAATTCTGAAAGCTTGAGCAGTGATTCTCAACCTTTTTTTTGTGGCGGCACACTTTTAACGATTTCGAAATTTGACGGCACACAATGAAAAAAAAATTAGTTTAAAAGTTTTTTATTTATCTCTAATACACTGTGTTAAATAGTTCGTGATAATAATTTTGAATGTAAAGTAAAATAATACGTACTACAAAAGCACGTTTATTAAGAGATTAATTGTTTCTTTCGACTAATTTTTTATTAGTTAGTAACAGTTATTTATTTTTTTGATAGTTATTAATTGTTAGCTTGTTTTCCGTAGTTATTAACTGTTAGTTTTTTTTAAATTAGCACGATTTCGAGTTGATTTCTCTTTTTTGCGACAAGATCCGTAACAGCACTGAATCTACATTCGACAAGATAGGAGGAAGGGAAGCAATTAAAAAAAATTTGACGTTGGTCCACAGTCCAGGGTAGAGGCGACTGATGTTACCTTGAAGCCAAAATTCTGAGAGACGATCACAATTTAAAAGTTTCAATAGTTGAAAGTTCGACTGATTTCTCCTGAATCTGAACTTATGCTGTGTCAATATTCACAAAAGGGTTCATAACCCATTGAGGGACTTCCAAGGACAAAACGCCCTTAAAACGGTCAGAAAAATCTATGTGCAAAGAGTCAAGATGTTGACAGTATTCTTGTATATCATCAGAGGGAATTTCGCTATTCTTTTTAAGATTGGAAATTTGCTGAATTCATTCCTATCAAAATTCTACCTCTACAAAATGAGTTTTTGTTTTAGAAAGGCAGCAATAGCTGATTTTGTAAGGATCAAATTGGGCTCGTCGCCTTGGAGTTATAAATTAACGCCATTTGTAAATTAGTTTATATTATAAATTATAGCAATCTGTCTCTCAAAGCCATATTTCTGTCTTCCAGGAACTCAAGCCCATCGTCGAAAAGATTCGAAAACCTATTGATATAGGCAGCTTTGGAAAGCCAGTGAATCTCGGTGTGTAATATCAAGCGATTGAATTTTTAACCGTTTTTCTTACATAGCTGTCTGAATTATCAATCGTTTGAGAGCATTATCTGCGAATTTTGTTCACAGCAGATGTAACATATTGCAATGACTGATGCAAACGGCAGCTGAGATTTTTTCCTACTAAATGCTGTTTGTGAATCACGCAGTGAATGGCTAAAATATATGGCGTCCCTTTTCAAAAGGGCGATAAACCTACGAAGTTGACCCACCATTGCTGGAGCTTCATTAGTGGCAACAGACATAATGTTCGCAAGAGTTTTTCTCTTTAAAATAATCATTGACAGTATTAAAAATAGATTCACTTTTGGTATCTACAATCAAGCTTCTTACAAAAAGGATCCCTTGAATAATTTTACCTACCTTTTCAAACCGGATGTACGCCAACGGTACAGCCTTCATTACTCAGCAAGATTGATTAATCAACTTGAAGGAAAACTTCGTAAGATATCAAAAGTTTGCATAAGGAAACTTCAATGTCTTCAGCCGTCTCATCGGTTGTCGCCGCACGGTATCGTTGCTTAATGGGATAGTTTTTTTTTTACATTGTATGCTGTTGGACGATGCAAAACTGTTTCTAAAACTTCCTTGACAGCCGACAGTTTCAACTCTTCGCCGATTGTATGAGTTTCCCAGATTCAGCAATTAATTTCGATATATTTATTATAAGAGGCTATCAAACCGTCGTCTCATTTTTGTGATGAGGTTATTTGTAAGCCTGAGACAGGAGGTGCCTTCAGAAACTTGTCTTTTGAAGTTCATGAGAAATGACAAATCTTTATTTTGTTTGCCAGGAGAAAATTTTTGAAAATACTCCTGCTAATAACGGGAGGGTTTCATTGCCTCATTCGATAAAACTTTGCTACAAAGTAAACACATGTGTAGTTATAGAGTTCGACAGCGATTGAACAAATCCGAACTTCAAGTAAGTGGCACTGTATAGACAAACACTTCTTTTTGTAAATTAACATTGTTGGTGGCAGCAAAATACAAACGATGAAAGAAAATCAACTATTACTCCAAATTAATAAATAATTTACGATAAAGAACTAATTTCGGGCAAGTACCTGGTCAAATAGACAATGAAATCAAATCGAAACTGGGGAAAAATTGTAAGGAGGCTAACGAAAACCATCATAAACACGGGTCAAATCATTCATATTGAAGGAGCATGAGCTTCAATTTCGGCCAAATGGCCTGAATGAGTCAGAGGCAAACATTACTGAATCATGCACTGCGCTGGTTTGGATCAGCGAATAAGTGTCGCATAAATTCGTTTTTTTGCTGGTGCAAATGGTGCATCAGATAATCGTAATTTATTATATTAGTTTAATCATCGACCAGGTTGCCGAGAGGTTAACGTGTCTGACTGCGGAGCCATTGGCCACGGGTTCAAATCCTGCTCAGGGCATGGATGTTTCTTTCTCTCTGTGTGTTGTTCTATGTCCATTCCTCTTTGTGTGAATGTGACCCGCCCTATAAACGGGATTGTGTGACGTGGGCGACGCTGCTCCACCGCCGTGGCTTCGCCACAGGTGCCCACTGGGTAATGAGAAGAGAGTAGCAGTTCTGGCATTTCTGTGGCCAATGGGACAAATCCCAAGTGCCCGCCTTTAAAAAAAAATATTAGTTTAATCTTTTTTTCTTCAAGATTAATTTTAGATTAATTCTATTTATTAAATTAAACTTAATTTAATAATTTTATTTGAGATTTTTAAAATTAAATTTTAATGACGAAACATGCTCAGCGCTCCCTTCCCCCCTACCGTCCAAAACATACCCAACTCCCCTCAGCATACTACCACCGCCCAGGGGGGTGGTATGCCCCCGGTTAGAAACACTGCTTTAGAGTTTAATTGTCTACCACTCTATAGAATATTCTGTAAAAAACGTACTAGTTGACATTCCTGTTACTTTGATGCGTGATGTGTCTTGGTAGATCGAGCATCAAAAGAGTTAACTTCCACACGTAATCCAAAATTAAGTATTTAAATATTTAGGGGAGTGTAGGGTAAGACAAGGCACATTGATTGTGTTGAAATTAATATTATTTTCTAGCGGAAAAACTCTGAATTACACTTTACTAGTCAAGAAGAAGGACCTTTCATATTGGTGTGTTGTTGTAGATTAATTCACGGCGCCAGTGTAGATAAGATTGTTTTGCTGTGTCAACTCTTTAATGTTCTTTTGTTTTCAAGCTAGCTTATTTATTGGTCATTACAGTAATAAAAAATATTTTTAGTACAGCTTAGTATACGTTTACCAAAGGTTTATTCCTTAACAAGCAATAAGGATTAAACCCAATAGTAGAGCACTGTTTCGTTTCATTTCGATAACCTCTGCTCTCTGAGTAGAGCTACTATCTGGCAACTCAAGCTACGACTATCTGGTCTCGCGCGTACAAGTACAAAATTGTACTTTTTGTACAAAAAACCCTAATAACTTCTTCAGATCTTTTTGGGATTGGTTTCATTCAATTCAGCTTGAAAATATACATCGGAAATTAATGTCTCACTTGCTTGTCTTGAAGAAATTCAAAACTTCTCCGTATATCACCCCCCACTTTCCTCAAAAAAAGGGGAAGAGTACAGAGAAAAGTAGGAGAGTTTTTAGATATCATCTAATAACATGACAAAGCCTTTTGTTCAACAAAAAAAAAAAAAAAATAGAATGTCTTGAGTATTAATTTTTCAGAAGAAACGACATTTTTGTTAACTATAATTACTGGGCTTTTTATACAATTATTTGTGCAAATAATTTACCACTAATTAATCCATTAAATAGGATTTAAATAAGAATATTATTAATGAAATATGGTATGGGCAGCTGCTGATCTAGAATATGGCCACTT